AGAGCTAAGTGGACAAACAAGCCAGGATTTGAACCTGGTTTATCTGACTCTAAAATCCCTGCTCTTTCCACTGTAAAAATGTAGTCAGAGCACTTGTATACTTTTAATGTAGCTGGAGGGTAGGGTTATTGAGGGAGAGGAGGAGTGGGGATGAGGAGGTCTGGTAAATTATGCTGGTAAAGTAGATTGAAGGACGTGATAGAGCATACTAAGAAGTTCGGACTGTATCTTATTATGTAGGCTGTAGGTAATACACAGGTGAGGCTAGATTTACCAGTGTGGAAACAGCAAAATTGGAGTTTATTCAAAAATGAGGCTCAAAAATGTGAAAATCACATATACCTGTGTTACTCTTGAGAATCCCTCAAGAGAACCCCACATCATCTCAGTAAATCCCCAACAGCCAGTTTTCCTTCAGTGTAGGAACTGATTGTTGTTTCTTTGATCAAGCAATAGATGAAATGGTTGATTTACAAGTAGAGGCCTTGCTGTACAAAAAAATACACTATAGCTTTAACTAAAGAATTAGTGTGGACTGGACCTCATACCATGAGAGGCTTGGGGCAGTTGAGACTCATTAAGGGAGTAGTTGTGCTTTAGCTCAGAGTGGAAAGCTAGGAAATCTAGTCCTCACTGGTTATACACCTATTCTCCATCTCCCCCCCACCCCACAACCCCGAACAGGAGTATAGAGAAAGTTAAATGTCAGTTTGACTCTAATATATAAGAAAAACATAACTTTCTTTGATTCAGTTACACAGGTTACATGCCGAGATGATTTTTGTTTCCCAGTGGTGAAGTACCACCACTGTCTTGAGTTTAACAATTTTTTTTTTTTTTAAAGATTTTATTTATTTATTTGAGACAGAGAGAATGAGAGAGACAGAGAGCACATGAGAGGGGGGAGGGTCAGAGGGAGAAGCAGGCTCCCAAGGAGCAGGGAGCCCGATGCGGGACTCGATCCCGGGACTCCAGGATCATGACCTGAGCCAAAGGCAGTCGCTTAACCAACTGAGCCACCCAGGAGCCCGAGTTTAACAATTTTTTAAATTACCATAGTTTTCCAGTTCCTAACAATGAGGGATAGTACCAAGTGTGAACTCAGCCTGCTGACTTTTTGTCTTCTGGGAATTCAGAAAACAGCAAGTTGAGTGAGAAATTTTATCCCAGGCATTTTAAGATCGAATCTTGTAGATAACATGGGCCAATTTTTCAAAATCTGAAGAGGATGGGAAAATCTGTATTTTTATTTTTTTTAATGTATTTACTGTGATAAAATATATGTAACATAAAATTTGCCATTTTAGCCATTTTTGAATGTACAGTTCGGTGGCATTAATTATATTCACAACATTGTGGGGTCATTACCACTGTATTTCCAAAAATTTTCATCACCCCAAACAGAAACTCAAACCCATTGAGCAATAACAGCCCTCCCTCCAACTTCTGGTAACCTCTAACCTACTTCCTATGAACTTACCTATTCTATATATTTCATATAAGTGGAATCATAAAATACTTGTCATTTTGTGTCTGGCTTACTTCACTGAGCGTTTTTTCAATGTTGTAATTTCATGCTGTAGTATGTGTTAGAACTTCATTACTTTTTATGGCGGAATAATATTCCATTGTATGTATAAGCCACATTTTGTTTATCCACTCCTCTGTTGAATGAACACTTGGGTTGTTTCCACCTTTTGGCTATCGTGAGTAATTGTGAATAATGCTTCTATGAGCATTGGTGTCTGAATTTGAGACCCTGTTTTCAAATTTTTGGGGTACATACCTTGGAGTAGAATTGCAGGGAAATCTGTATTTTTTTAACTATTGTATTTATCCATTTTTCCATCTTTTGCTATCAGTGAGAAAGACAAATAAAAATAGAACAGTGTTTGGTTTTTACAAGAAAAGCTGGTTTTTCACAACTCACTTTTGGCTTTGCTTAACTACTTAATAGATAGGACCGTGAAGCATTTCTTTTGGCCTATGCGCACTGCAGAAAATTTACTAAGACATGAAAGGATGAACCAAGAAAGTCTGGGAACCCCTAGTTTATACCTTGTGCTCTCCAACTAGTTTTTTAAATTTAGTACTATATTTTGGAGAACTTACACTAATATGCCATTGTATAAATGTACCACTTATAACCATTCCCTTATGGATAGACTTCCAGCTTCTTGCCACTTTTCAGTATTACAGAGAATGCTGCCAATGAATATATTTATACATATATACATTTGTATGTATTCATGCTAATACTCCTGTACTAAGATAGGTTCCTAAAAGTAAAATTGTGAGGTAAAAAAGATATGCCTACATAAAGTGTCATTCCTGCTAAATTTTCCTTTCAAAAGATTTTAATGTTACACACTCCCAACAATGTAAGAGTACCCATTTCCTCATACCCTCACCAATATTTGATGTTATCAATCCTTTTAATTTTTACAAATCTGACAAAATTTGAAAAATTTTGTTTATATCTTGCATTTCCTTAATAAGTAGTGAGATAGGGCATCTTTTTACATTTTATTGACCATTGGTATTTTTCAGGTCAATTCCCTGTTCGTGTTTTGACCATTTTTCTTTGGTAATTTTGTCCTTATCCTATTTGTATGAGCTCTATTAATGTTTTGTCTTTTCTATGTTACAAATATTTTGTTCCTGCCTGCCACTTATCTTCTAATTATTCATTGTTCTTTTCCCATATATAAATTTAGCATTTTTATGAGGTCAAAACTTTATGACTTCTGATTTTGCCATGTTTAGAATGGTCTTCTTATCCCAAGGTTTAAATTATCTGCTCATGTTTTCTATTGGTACTTCTAAGATACTAGTTTTTAGACTGAAATTTAAATTTATTTACATGTAAGGAACGAGACAATAGCCTGCTTAAAGTTTCTTCCTGATGGCTAGCTAGTTGCCCTACATATTCGTTGAACAAAATTTCCCCATTAGTCTGAAATATAACTGTTACCAAATACTGAATTCTCATAGATGGTATATTGCGTGTGTGTTTCTGGACTTAGATCTTTAAACATTTTCCTATGCTAGTTTATACTGTTTAAACCAATTTTACTTTATAAGATATTTAATATTTTAAACATTTGAAGCATTATTTACCTTATAGTGGTCATTTTGTTGTGAAATATGATTATTAAATTTTTAAAATTTTTATTTTATTTAAAAAATCTTTTGGGTTTTCTTTCATGCTTAAAAAACAATTTGGACCTGTAGAAAAGTTGCAGAAGTAAAATGGAGTTCCCTTTATTCTTACTCAACTTCCCCTAATGTAAGCATCTCACATGGTACAATTATTGAAATCAGGAAAGTAATACCGACATAATACTGTTAACTAATCCACAGGCCTTATTTGAATTTCACCAGTTTTCCTACTGCGGTCTTTATAGTCCCAGAGCCAATCCAGGATTCTATGTTGTTATTACATTGTCATGGCTCCTCAGTCTGCTTCAATCTGTGACAGTTCCACAGTCTCTTTCATAACGTTGACACTTTTTTAAGAGTACTGATTATTTTGTAGATTGAGTTTGAGATTTTCCTCTGATTTGATTTAGGGTATGCATTTTGGCAAAAATACTAAGGAAGTGATGTGCTCTTCTTTGAGCATCATATCAGAGAGTACATGTTGTCGACATTTCTCATTACTAGGTGATCTTTTTTTTTTAGGGAAGTGATCTTTGAATAATTGGCTAAAGTGGTATGTTTCAGGTGTTTCCTTTTCTTATTTAGTAAGCATCTCCTGGGGAGTAAGTATCTCCTGGGGAGATACTATCCTATTTCTCATCAAAATTTCACCCACTGGGGCGCCTGGGTGGCTCAGTCGTTAAGCGTCTGCCTTCGGCTCAGGTCATGGTCCCAGGGTCCTGGGATCGAGCCCCACATCAGGCTCCCTGCTCCACGGGAAGCCTGCTTCTCCCACTCCCCTGCTTGTGTTCCCTCTCTCACTGCCGCTCTGTCAAATAAATAAAATCTTTAAAAAAAAAAAAAAAATTTCACCCACTAACTCTAGCATCTGTCAATGGCTCTTGCTGAAATAATTATTACTTGATGTTAACCTAATGGTGATTTTCTCTTTTCATCATTCATTCTACATTTATCAATTGAAATAATCCCTTCTCCCCACTTATTCAATTATATCCTTATATCAGTGTGGACCCATGAATCTATTTTACAGGTTCTTACCCAGTACTGTATTATGTTACCAATTATTTAAGCTTTTATTTAAGTAATCTCTACACCCAACATAGGGCCTGAACTCACAACCCCAAGATCGAGAGCCCCATGCTCTTCTGATGGAGCCAGCCAGGCGCCTCACCAATTATTTAACAGATAGAAATAGTGCCTTTAAGTACTTACAAGTGTAGTTTCACATGTAAGTTTCCCACATCTAACATATGGCTTATTATCTTTGCTTGCAAGGGGAAATTAAAATTCTTTTTTTTTTTAAGATTTTATTTATTTGATAGAGACACAGCGAGAGAGGGAACACAAGCAGGGGGAGTGGGAGAGGGAGAAGCAGGCTTCCCGCGCAGCAGGGAGCCCGATGCGGGGCTTGATCCCAGGACTCTGGGATCATGACCTAAGCCGAAGGCAGACGCTTAACGACTGAGCCACCCAGGCTCCCCGGAAATTAAAACTTTCTTAACATTGTAACTTGGATTATGGTTAGACTTACAAATTATTTGCAGAATTCAGTTACCAAATGCTGAATGTGTATTTACAAGGTCCATCCAATTAAGGGCTTGGAGAGAGTAGAATATGGAGCTGGCACAAGGCCAGCCCTTAAGCATGCAGGGCAAGAGGGGAGGGGTACACCCCGTGGCTCTGTCAGGCTGTGTACAAAATACATACACAGGTCAGTGAAGTCAAAAGATCAACTATAGCTAGCTGGCTGGAACCAGGGGGAAATTCCTTTGACCTGCTTTCCAGATGTTAATAGCAATGTTACTTTGAAGGTGCCTAAATTATTTTATTCTTTCCAGGTTTGAAGTCAATAAAAGGAAGCTGCCATAATTTTTGTACTGCTATTTTTAAAGATGTCACTTATAAGGAACTTAAGAACCTCTTGAATTCCAAAAAAATTATGTTAATTGATGTTAGAGAGACATGGGAAATTGTCGAGTACGGAAAAATTCCTGGGTCTGTCAATATACCATGTAAGTGACATGTGACTTGAATTGCTTCATCACAAAAGTATATATTCAGTAATTTACTGTATCTAAAATTTAATTAAAATTCTTAACATTTTCTTTCAGTGGATGAGGTAGGTGAAGCTCTACAGATGAACCCAAAAGACTTCAAAGAGAAGTACAATGAAGTAAAACCATCCAAATCTGACAGTCTAGTGTTTTCTTGTTTAGCCGGAGTGAGAAGCAAGAAGGCTTTGGACACGGCCATATCTCTGGGCTTTAACAGGTGCATAGATGAATTATAAAAATGTATTCAAGAATGTGTATAGCAATGTTTCATATGTATTATATGTTTACTGGTTGATTGAAAAATTTGTAATTACTGTGTTAGTAATAGCAGGTTAGAGACTAAGAGACTATATTTTCATCCTACTCAAAAGTAACAGTCTTTTAAGTAGGTTTAAAGTCTAGAGTAGTCATTGCACTTCTAATCTCTAAAGTTCCTATCAACCTTGTGTTATAAAGCAGGAGGAAATGTTTACAGCACTAACTTTGCTATATGTTTTCAGTGCTCAACACTATGCTGGAGGATGGAAGGAATGGGTAACCTATGAATTTTCAGAGAAGAAACACGGAAATTGAATTCTGGAATACAAGTTGGCACGTCCCTTGTGTACGTGGCAGCCTAGGATAGTGAAATGAACAAAAGAGTAATAATCTAGCCCTGGCATCACTGGTTAATGGAAAGGGGATTTTGTGTAATTCGATTATTTGTTGGATCTTTTCCTTAACTGCAAGTTGAGAATACTACGCACCCTTGCCTATTCCCAAAGGCTATGGAGGATTGAAATAATGTATGTGACTTGCCATGGAAATATAAGGGTTGGGATTCTAGAAATTAATTTTTAAATAGTTTAGTATAGTACAATAGTATTCCCAAGCCCAGGTTACTTGTATTACCCAATCATAACATATAACCATTTGTGTTAGCCTAGCTTCTATTCATTAAAGAGGCTATGAGCTAGACAAGTTATTTTTTTTTAATGATTAAAATACATTTGTAAATTTTCCCATTTTAGAAAATTCATAAAATATATTTTCCTGTAATGATATGCAGTACAGATATTTCTGATTGATATACCTTTCATCCATAATGAATATTTAGCGAATATTGAATAAAATAAAAACAGCTAGTAAGCATTTCTTGAACACTTTTATTTGGCTTAGATCCTATGCTACATATTCCAAATGCTAAAAAGAGAATAAAAAAGATGCGCTTCTTCTTTGAAGAGGTTTGATTTCTAGCAGAGGTTTATAAAAGTTAAATTTTAAAAAGCAGATTTTGGGGGCGCCTGGGTGGCTCAGTCGGTTAAGCATCTGCCTTCGGCTCAGGTCGTCATCCCAGGGTCCTGGGATCGAGCCCCACGTCTGGCTCCCTGCTCAGCGGGGAGCCTGCTTCTCCCTCTCCCTCTGCCTGCAGCTCTGCCTACTTGTGCTGTCTTTCTCTCTGTCAAATAAATAAAATCTTAAAAAAAAAAAAAAAAGCAGACTTTGTCTTAAAACACCAAGAATCTGAGATCCAGAAAAGTAGGTGAAATATGAATGATGAAAATACATTAACACCATCCAAAGACTTATGACCGTGTTGTAACCAGCATGGTAGTGATATGATTTGCAACCTAAAAAATTAATATGATCTATAAAGATACAAATATCAAAGTGATTGCTTCTGCAGAGAGAAGATTAACTGGAATAAGCAAGGAGGGAAATTTCTAGGGTGATGGAAATGCTTTAGATCTTGAACAAGGTGTTGGTACATAGGTAATACATTTATCAAAACTGAACACTTGAAAACATACATTTTCTGTAATTATCTCAATTAAAAATAAAGAAAATAGGGAAAAAAAGTTTAAATGTAAACAACTCTCATTGGCATGAGTATATGCCTTAGTGCCCTAGTGGTACAACTCTGTGCTTTCTTCCCTCTGTGCCTCTTCAGGCCTAAATGTGTTTCATCTCATTTCAGTAGTCATTCAGATTGTGTAAGGCCTAGGAAGTAACTATCAGGACTTGGTTTGTCCTAAATGGTATTATAAAGCCACTGGAGAATCTGGAGTAGGGAAGTGATGTCACCACCTTGAACCTCTATTTCTGATAATGTCCGTCTAGTTTCTAGCAGAGCAAACTCCCTATAAGAACTAGAAAAGCTGGAAAGTAAACACACACGCACTCATGCATGCATGCACGCTCCTCAGTGTTGGGTCATCCTTTACAGCTTTCCTGCTCTCTGGACCATAGCTCTTCAGGTCCTTGCTGCTTTAGTAATTCCTTCATGCCTTTAAATTGATCTTTATGTATCTATATAAACAAAGGTTACTAGTATGAACATACTAAGGTGGGATTTGAAGAGCCACAGTCTCAGAGAGAAGGGGAGTTGTGGTTGAAGTACTGGGGGCCCATCAAGGAATGAGAACCTGGGTAAATACACCGGACGTTTAGTTGGAACCCCTGGGAAACTATACCCTAGGAGTAAAGGTGAGCCAGAAATTGACCGACCCTCATAAAATGTTAAGACCGGCTTTGAATCAACTAAATCCCTGAATGAATTAAGGTGATCTTCCTGATAACGTAATGGCCTACCAGCAGTAAATCCTCTCTTGGAGAAAGATGTCATTATCTAGAGTAAGGGGTTGGCAACAATAAATATTTTAGGTTTGTGGGCCATAAGGTCTCTGTTGCAACTGCCCCACTCTGCCTGCTACTGTAGCACAAAGCAACCACAGTACATACACGAATGAGTGTGGCTGGGTCCCAGCCTAACTACGGCAAAGTACATAAATGAATGTGGCTGGGTCCCAACCAAACTACGGCGACTTAGGTTTGAATTTTATATTTCATGTGTTGCCACATACTCTTCTTTTAATTATTTTTCAACCATTTAAAAATATGGCAAACCTTCTTAGCTCAAAGGCCAGGCAAAACTAGATGGCAAGTAAGATTTGGCCCATGGGGCACAGTTTACAGACCCCTGAGCCAGAACCACAAACATCCCCTACAGTTCGTCATATTCAATGTTCATTGTATTCTAATAAATTCTATAAAATTTATTAGAAATAGCAGTAAATAAGACCTCATGATTGAAAAAGAAGGAAAAAAAAGAAAAGGAAGAAAAAAATAATAGAAACAAATCTACAGATAATCTACATGTTGGAATTTTCAGACAGACTTTAAAATAACTGATTTATGGGGCGCCTGGGTGGCTCAGTCGTTAGTGTCTGCCTTCGGCTCAGGTCATGATCCCAGGGTCCTGGGATCGAGCCCCGCATCAGGCTCCCTGCTCGGCGGGAAGCCTGCTTCTCCCTCTCACTCCCCCTGCTTGTGTTCCTTCTCTCACTGTGTCTCTCTCTATCAAATAAATAAAATCTTTAAAAAATAAAATAAAATAACTGATTTATATATTCAATGACTTAAATGACAAAAATTATTAAAGTGATGAAAACTACAAAAAAGTATCAAATAGAGATACAATAACTGAAATTAAAAACCCAGCAGATGGTGGATTGGCTAAACAGACACAGCTGATGAGGATTAATAAAAATGAAAAACCCAAGGTACACATTAACATGACTTTTAAGTATGGGATAGGGACTTAGTATCTCCAACTTGGAGGAAATTTAACCAGATTTTACAATTATAATACCTTGGATTCCTGGTACTTTTTTAAAGAAAACTTATGACAATGTATTCTGTTTACCCAAATATAACTGCACTTGTATATTTTTGAAGAAGCAAAGGGTTCATATGTTAGAATAATTTGTTTTCGGGCGCCTGGGTGGCTCAGATGGTTAAGCGTCTGCCTTCGGCTCAGGTCATGATCCCAGGGTCCTGGGATCGAGTCCCACATCGGGTTCGCTGCTCCTTGGGAGCCTGCTTCTCCCTCTGCCTCTCTTTCTCTCTGTCTCTCATGAATAAATAAATAGGTGAATCTTTAAAAAAAAGAAAAAGAATAATTTGTTTTCTATATTCAAATTTATAAAGACAAGCTTCATTGTCAGTTATTCTGAAATAAAAATTTAACAAATGTAATGAAGGGGCGCCTGGGTGGCTCAGTTGGTTAAGCAACTGCCTTCGGCTCAGGTCATGATCCTGGAGTCCCAGGATCGAGTCCCGCATCGGGCTCCCTGCTCGGCAGGGAGTCTGCTTCTCCCTCTGACCCTTCCCCGTCTCAAGCTCTCTCTCTCTCTCATTCGCTCTCTCAAATAAATAAATAAATAAATCTTAAAAAAAAAAAAAAAGGTATCTGAAGTTGCACCAAACTGTACACTGAAAGTCTTAAGAGCAAAATCATTCCTAAGTTCTATAGTATCAGATGCCTTAAAATATATGTAGTATATGATTTAATACATCATTTAAAAAGTGGCTGTTTTATTTCAGTCATGGGAGAATACCACTTTTACTCTGCTAATGCCACAGTAGATCAAAAGTTTTAGAAATGTAGAATAGCCAGATTACATTTTTTTTTTTATTTTTTGACAGAGAGACAGAGAGGGAACACAAGCAGGGGGAGTGGGAGAGGGAGAAGCAGGCTTCCCGCTGAGCAGGGAGCCCGATGTGGGGCTCCATCCCAGGACCCTGGGATCGTGACCTGAGCTGAAGGCAGACGCCTAACAACTGAGCCACCCACGCGCCCCTAGCCAGATTACATTTTAAAATACTGTATGTACTATTCATAGTTCTCCTAATGGGATAGAAGGAAGCTGTCCTAGAAAAAGTGGCAACAGTGGACATATCAGCTCAGAGTCCTGAATTAAAGTGTCGCAGGTTTCCTTCATTTACATTCCCTCTTTCTTGCCTTATGATCCCAGTGAGGTCTCTTGCATTCTGCGATAATGCATCCTTTTGCTATCTAGTTAATGTATCTGCCGTGGAAATCCTGGATAGAGGCAGGATCAGTAGCTAACCTGCGAGAAATTGGTATTATTGACAAGCGGAAAACTGAATGCTGCTCCCACCTTTCAGTGATAGTTATTTTTCAGTGTCTAAAAGGGCAGCGATTAACAGAAAAGTCACCTTTTCAGTGCCACAGGTGTCTCCAGGAGCAAGGATAGAAAGGAGAGAAACTTTTTAAAAAAAAAAGATTATTAGAGAGAGTGAGTGAGCACAGCAGACTCTCCGCTGATCAGGGAGCCCGATGCAGGGGGAGGGCCTCGACCTCAGGGCCCTGAAATCATGACCTGGGCCGAAGGCAGATGCTTAACTGACTGAGCCACCCAGGCGCCCCCCAAAAAGGAGAGAAATGTTAATATAAGTATTACTATAGTAGAATCTGGTTAAAGTGTATTCACATGGGAATAAGAGTACCGTTTTGAAGATTACATCAGATAATGTATGCCAAATATTTAATACTATGCTGTTATGTTACTTTGTGATCCATACAATATGGTACTTGTTTATAGGCAGCTGATATTTTGGGTTGCTGTTTGCATTCAATTAGCATTAATAAAGAAGGGAGTTTCGTGAAACTTCCAGCTAAATATCTGGGGGCAAGAATGGCAAGTGAGATACTTATTGCAGGTGGGAAGATAAAATGAAACTCTGAATAAGGAACAATGAAATACCTAGGCCTCTGATCTTGTCTCTAAGAACTCTGAACAGTCCAGCTCATACCACCACAGATAAAGCCAGAAGCTTCCTTTCTAGAAAAACTGACCCACTGGCAAAGAAAAAGCTTTAGAATAGAGTATGATGTTGGGGGTGGGAGGGATAATAATGAAAACGTTTTGTTGTGTAATGAGGCCCACCACTGTAAAGTCCTACCCATGCACACAGACCTCCCAATTATCTCCCTGTGCCTCTCAAAAATGAAGGATCTTGAGGCAATTAAAGATTCTAACTTGAAAAATTATGACCAAACAGAAAAAATGGACTTCAAGGAAAAAGTGTTAATGCAGGAAGCAAAATTTTAAAACGACCAAAAAAACCTAAATTACTATCTGTAGAATAACACAATGCATTCTCAGACAAGAACAAGGTGCTATGTAAAAAGCACCTTTTCGGAAGCAATTAGAGGATGTATCCCATTAAAACAAAGGCGAAGAAAAGTAAGTGGATTCCCCATATCTTGGTTACCTAAACAAAAAGATGAAGGACTCGGGGAAGAATGTCTCCTTGTGAGTGACTTTAGAGTGTAAATGAATAATAAATGATTCTGGTGATAAATTAATAAAAGATACAAAGTAAAATGAGCAAATTACAACCAAGGCAATTACCCCTTTCAGAAAGACAAAAATATTCTCAAAGAAAGGAAATGTAACCACAGTACACTACAGAACACAATGTTATCTATGTATACTTAATATATATTAAGTATGAATTTAACAAAAATTATACAATTAAATTGGGAAGGTGATGGAATAGAAGTCTTAGTATAGAATCGGGTTGGTGGGGAAGCAGGAGAATAGAGGGAGGTGTGTGAGAAAGTGAAATCTTCATCTTCCAGAGTAAGAAGTTACTAGATAATTTTACTATTGAAAAAAGAATCAAAATATAAAACTGGAGGGTAAACAGAGGAGGCAGTAAGGTAAAGTCATTAAGAGCATGGGCCCTAGAGCCCAGCTGCCCAGGTTTTAATTAGAACCTAATCCAAGCTCTTGTCACTTACTTGACCTGTGACTGGGTAAGTTAACTTTCTGTTCCTGAGTTTCCTTCTCTCTACAGTAATTGCTCTGAGAATTCAATGACTTCATAATGTAGAAAGCTGAGAAAATTCTTGTCACCTAAGTGCTCAATAAATGCTGTAATTAAACGGTTGTTACTGGGAAATGTGCAAGTAACACAACAGCCAAGAAATAACTAAAAGTTGCTCTGGGGAGGAGGAATGAGCAGTAGGAAGAATGGGTCAGGGGTCTTAACATCTTCCTTGTCTTACAGCAGCACAGTCCAACAATTATAATGCAAGCCATTTAGGTGATCAATTATTAATTGTCTTACATTTTAAAAAGAGGTGAGATTAACTTCAATAGTGTTTTATGTGGTCCTATCATCATTTAAAATGTGTAATCATGGGGCGCCTGGGTAGCTCAGTCGTTGAGTCTGCCTTCGGCTCAGGTCATGATCCCAGGTCCTGGGATCGAGCCCTGCATCGGGTTCCTGCTTCTCCCTCTCCCACTCCCCCTGCTTGTGTTCCCTCTCTTGCTGTCTCTCTCTCCGTCAAATAAATAAAATCTTAAAAAAAATAAAATGTGTAATCATTATAAACATTAGATATTTTACATTTTGTACTAAGTATTGAAATCTAACATGTATTTTTACATTTACAGCACCTCTCAATTCTAACTAGCCACACTTTCAGTGTTCAATAGCCACATGTAGCTAGTGGCTATCACATTGGACAGTGCAACCTACAGCAGTGTTTGATTTTTTAAAAACAATACACGTCATCAATGGCTGATAAATCACAGAAAGAGACAACCAGCTATGATATGCCCTCTGATGGAAGACACCTTATATAATAACCTACCTGCTCCAAAAAAAATTTTTTTTGAATCTGAACTTGATCAAGCCTTTAGATTCAATGACCAATTTATAGAAAATACAGAAAAAGGAACATGTTAAATGGCACTTCAAGGATACAATTAGCAAGATCCATATGGTGGGATACTCTTACTAGATAATCAAGTCAAAAGGGGAAATTTAAAAAATAAGATGGAGGAGGAATCCATGAATTTAAAAAGATGTAAAGATTTGTCAATTAATTGCAATAATTTATCCTTATTTAGATCTCACTAGATTTAACAACTTGTCATGATATTTATAACTGAAAATTTGGGCAATGAATATTTGATAGTACATCATTTTGACTCATTTTTTAGGTATAAAACTTAGTTTTTTAAGAGCCATCATCTTTAGGAATACATACTGAAATAATTATAGATGAAATATGGTTATCTTGGATTTGCTTCAAAATAATATGCATATTATATGGGAAGTAGATGGGAGTTTAGATAAAATGAAATTGGTCATACAATGTTCATTGTTGAAACTGGGTAATGACACACGGGGATTCGTTACACTAGTTTATTTACTCTTGTATCTGTTGTTTTAAATTTTCTATAACAAAAGGTTGAAAACATCATTTTCAAAATAAAAATTTTAAAATAAATGAAAAATTAGGGTCAAGTCAATGACTGTGATATATAATCAGTCTGCTCTTCCAACCCAAACCCAACCTTAATTCTTTTAGACCCGAGGAGAGCTTTGTTCCTCATTTCTTTCTTTTTTTTTTTTTTAAGATTTTATTTATTTGCGAGAAAGAGAATGAGAGACAGAGAGCATGAGAGAGAGGAGGGTCAGAGGGAGAAGCAGACTCCCTGCCCAGCAGGGAGCCCGACGGGGGACTCGATCCCGGGACTCCAGGATCATGACCTGAGCCGAAGGCAGTCGCTTAACCAACTGAGCCACCCAGGCGCCCTGTTCCTCATTTCTTATCCTACCCTATAAGCCTACGAGACCTATATTTATCACTGATACTGACTTTACACATAATCTTCCTTTCCAACTTGTCTAATCCTCTCCATTAGGAAACAGAACTCTAGAGTGTGTTTATAAGCCATTTGAAATTACCCACTTGACAAACTATAGAAGACTTTAATACTGATCTAAAGGAAGAAGGACTCTCAGAAAACAGAAGACAGATTCAAAGAGATAAATTCAAGACACTAGTCAATATAGCTGGAGAACTTTACTTTTTATTCTTGCAGTTTTATACTAGGACGTCAACATTTAATTTAATAAGCCATTGTTCACAATTTATTAAAAAATTGAATCCTTAAATTGTACATCAATATCCTATGACTCCAAATTTTATCACTCTCCTTCAAATCTGAAGAAAATGATTACTTTAAGTTCCACAGACAGCACAGTCCCACTGACATAACATTTAGTCCGAAGTCCTACACTCGTGAGAATTAAGAATAGCCAGTATCAAACTGGCCTGAAACCTGATTGTGTTCCTGGCTCAGGATACCTGTAGTAAATTTGTAAATCCACACTAAGACACAAAAATAAACTAGGGTGTGTATGTCATATAAAAAACTTTTCACAGTAGAGTAAAAATTAACATTAAAATGTCACCAAATTTTAACCATATTATGGTGTCTTATCCAATTAGTTTTCAAAATGCCTGATTAACTGTGAATCAAATACAAATAACATCATGTAGGATTTTTTTAAAGTTTGCCCAGCATTTCAAAACGGTTATGGAATTAATATAACTTTTAAAATGTCAAAGTATGCTATACATATTGCACTTTTCTGCTAGGCTGGGCTAGTATCTTCCATGGCAAGATACTAAAACTATTGAATAAAATACATTTTTAAATCAATAGGTACTTGATTAATTTCCCTGAAATTATCAACATCATTACCAAAATCTCCCAGGATTTTGTAAGATTTGATTCCTTAAATACAGTTTTAAAGTTTAACTTAAGGAGGGAAAAAAACCCTCATATATTTGACTTTTTATGTCCCTTTTTGGTCCTTCAATGACCAAAGAGAATTTTAAACAAATTATGCTTCATGTTTCCTGGCTTAATAAAAAGCTACAATTTCTATTATCCAAATTAAGAAAAATTATACTAATCAAAAGCTATTAATTTTGAAATGTCTATGTAAGTCTGTCTGTAGGTCCCCTTAGAACCTTTCCATGCTTTTATAATCAAGATTTTAATCAATTATGTACTAGAATCAAATTATGTAAGGAAAACTTATTTTGCAAAAATAAAATCACTTCCCAATATGCTTGACAGAAACAAGCTATTCATTTTCATTTGTGTTCCATTGAAGACATAACTGAAATCTGTCCAATGGTTTATTTCCAACTGGTCCACTATGGAATTCTTCAGAATGTTTTAAGATTGGCTGTAGCTAGAGTTCTGACTTCCATTTGGACCCTGCTCTCCTTCACTGTTCAAGTGGGGAAGAAAGAGATTTTATACCAATTAAAAGACTCATTTTCAATACTCCAATAAGCCAACTAATTTTTAAAGTTAGTTACTCTGTGGTACAACTCTACAAAACAAAGGCATTCCTGATTGTAAGACAAGATGTGGAAAATTAAAATACCGAAGACTAACATTTGGTTTTATATTTTTATTCTTATGTAACTTGGTGCTCTCACACATAACAAGCATTCTGGTAGTTAGTGTCCATATACACTCAAAAAATTTAAATAAGGGTATGGGATTTCATTGTCATTACAGGTATCACTCAACATAGAGATTAGAGCTTCTGCACAAATTTCCTGTAAAATTAAATCTTACATATAAAATTTTATTCCTGCTAAATATGAAAATCAAGAAGTGTTCGTCCCAAAAAATTATTGTCCAAATGCATAATAAAATCACATGTAAATACAGCAAACTTTTATAAATCAGAAAGAAAAATGGCAATTTCCTGGAAAATGCTGAATACTTAAAATAAAAATAACTAAAACTGAAAATACCAGTAACTGTGGCAATAGGATTATTGTCTTATCTTGTCCATCATCATCTTGCAGCTTCAGGCCCTGCCACTAGTGGAGAATCACTCAGGGAATTTCTGCAAAAAATGCATCCAAAGGTAGCTGTTTGAATGACTGCCTTAAACAGCTCCTTGTATAAATCAAGTATTAATTTTTTCCAAACGGTAACATTAACTTACCAGATCTACAAATCTATCTTAATATTATATAATTTAATTATTTTTCTTGATCATTAAGATGGGTAGCATTTTTTTATTTTCCTTCTGACCTTTTTTCCTACTCTAAATGATCTGATATACAGTGCGAGCTGAGAACCACTGAACTAAATGAAAAGATCCTGTAAAAAACAACCAAAGAAAACCCTCTTAGCACAAGTGATTCACAGTTAGCAAAATTATGTTACTATGTGCCATGGATCTTTAGGTCGCTCAAAAGCCAAAATTATTTATCTTTATAATATCAGATCAATCACCTAAGTTTTTGAAAACTGCTACTGAAATTTATAGAAGAGGATAAAAGCCAGTAGTGTGGGTGTCGGGGGGGAGGTCACAGAGAGTCAAACTGACATGGGATACTACAGAATTCTTTATCCCTGAATTTCAGATGAACTAGCCTAATTCTGTTCTGTTTAAATTTATGTACAGTATATAGCCATATGTTGAGGGATACCTGTAAGAGACCTGCCATTGCATTAGGAAAAGTTAACAGATAGTCAGATTAATGTATTTTTTAAAATGAGACACTGTCAATCTACCAAGTCAAATTTTAAAATTACGTAAATCATGAAGTTTTGGAAGAAATTTCATGAAAATAATACAACACAATCTATGGAAAAATATGATAATGTATATGAAATATATAATTAAATGAAATCAATAATTAAAGTCTACAAAGTACCTGTTTGGAGGAGGTTTTGGTTTTGGCATCTTACTAAGAATAGTTGCCATCTCTTTTCTCTCATCAAAATTCTTCCACTGCTCATATAGTTTTAAAATAACCCTGATTATTTCCAAAATCTAGAAGTAAATATTTGAAAAGTTCTCAGTGGCAATACCAAGCAACATTTAGTATATAAAGAACACACATCACACACATCCTCAGAAAACAGTGTAAAGATAGAGTCTCTGTCCTTAAGTATTCAGGTTATATTAGATAATCTTGATAAACTTGAAAGCAGTATTTTTACCACATTGCTCTGTAGGCTTCTCCTTCTACCCTCTCATCTTTTAACATGTATACTTTATCCATCCTTACCCATCTCTGCAGTTGGTTTCCTTCTATCTGCTAATATCCTAAACCAAAACAAAACAGTGAGGTACTGGGAAGAGGTCTAAATCATGAAGGAGTAGGACACTACACAGTACACTCCTCTAATACCAACTGTTTCAAACAATTTAATGGGAGGTGGTGCATGAAAGACATTGTTTTGTTTCTCTGTTAACTACTCTACACATGAGTTAAGGTGTTCAAAACCTGGCAGCTATACATCTGTCACATTCAGTTTCCAAATCAGCCCTCCTTCTCATCTGAGTAGACCTCACATTGGATTGATTCTAATACTATAAATACTTCAGCAGAAAAGGTAAAAAAAAAAAAAAAAGGGCAAAAGCCTTTTGTCAGGAGACAGGCTGTGTTACAAAAGTTTATAGTAGTATTTAATGGTCTCTAGGTAGGTTTTAAAATAATCCTGGAAATTAGACGCAGCTTTGCAACTCAGCAAACCAAAAGTTTACCATTCTGTTTAAGCCTAAACCCAAAAGAGAAATATAACCTAAATAGTCAACATCAACTCTTCTCACCAAACATGTTTCTTAATATTTTTTTTTTTACCAAAAATCTTCTTAGCCTTGTGGACATCATAGGATTTTCGACTCATGTTAAGTAAACATCATATTAACTTTAAAATGTTCAAGTTTATATTCACCTAAGGGAGTTTTATTTTCTTAATACATTTTTTAAATTTTTAAATTTTTGTTTTAGAGAGAAACAGAGTGCAAGCGGGGTAAGGGCAAGAGGGAGAGAGAATCTTAAGCAGGCTCCACACTCAGTGCAGAGCCCAACATGGGGCTCAATCTCACAACCCTGAGATCATGACCAGAGCCAAAATCAAGAGTCAGACGCTTAATCAACTGCCTTTGGCTCAGGTCATGATCCTGGAGTCCCGGAATCGAGTCCCGCATCAGGCTCCCTGCTCAGCGGGGAGTCTGCTTCGCCTTCTGACCCTCCCCTCTCATGTGCTCTCTCTCAAATAAATAAAAAAAATCTTTAAAAAAAAAAAAAAGAATACCTTCTCCATATCCACAGAAAGCTCAGCAAACCACTGTCTGGCATCTTTCTGCTGTACAACACAGGCTACATGTAGACAAGCTGGAAAGAAAACAAGAGAAAAAGGCCCATGTTTAACTGCAAGTGTGAAATGTAGGGACTTAGAACTAAAGATAAGATTTTCACTTAAAATTTTCATGTACATTTTCCAATATTCTTTTTAAAAATTACATAGATTCATCTAACAGTTACCAATAACCATCCCATCAACTTAATATAATACAGACACAAAAATTACTAGACTATCTTAAGGTTCTAGACATCTCCTGCTCCTCACTGTATACTAAGGATGGTATTAGTTGCTTTGAGAGTCAAGGCATGTTAGGAAAAAATCCAATGAGGAAACTAGAGCAGAGAAATGATCCTCAACAGTGGCACAAAGGAGTGGTCAAAATTCACCCAGAAGTCAGTTTGACACACACACACACAGGCCAATAATATGCTAATAAATTTCAACAATTAATTATATTTTGATATTTCAATTAAAAGCAGTGTGTTGCCTCTGTTTTAAGTTTTTTAGCCCATGATGAAGTCAGGTGAACACTGGGCATCCCGGTACCGAATTCAGTGTTATAATCAAATGGAGCTTAGAAAAAAAAATAACGCACTATATACAATATAATTACAGTTGATCTCTGAACAACATTAGTCTTAGGGGCACCAACCCCCTCTGCAGTTAAAAAAATCTGTGGGTAACTTGACTCCCCCAAAACTTAACTATTAATAACCTACTTTTGACTGGAAGCCTGACTGATAAATAGTTGATTAACACAAATTTTGTGTATGTACTATATACTGTATTCTTACAGTAAAGTAAGCTAGAGAAAAATTATTAAGACAAGCATAAGGAAGAGAAGATACATTTACAGTATTATAAAAAACCTGTGTATAGCTAGACCTGCACAATTCAAATCCATGTTTCTCCACTATATACACATTACACACAATATAAACTAACAAAGACAGTAAAAGAACTCAAAGACAACAATCTCCATCATAATTTTGCCTAATATAATTTCTACCAGCAGCTTGGCTACCTTGAGCCCACACCAGCTTCTTAAGAGTTATTTTCCCTGGTTTAGTTACCCAAGTGATTTTGCGAAGGATGACATTCTAGGCAAACAGTGACTCAAATGTGAACTGACATACTGGTTGACCCAAGTCAAATGAAGCTGTAAAGTAGGGTGTAGGCCCTGAAGGGACGAGAGGCGAAATAACTGAAATTATAGTAACAGGTAATTAAAGTACAGTGGAAAATGCCATAACAGGGCATACACAGAGTAAATTAGAAACAGAGAAGACATCCTAAACCTGGACTGAGGTGATGTAGGAAGTTTGGGGATGGGAAGGGTGTCACTAAAGAGGTGGTATCTAAGACAAGTCTTAAAAAAAAAGGTGAGAATGGGAGCAGAGAATGGTATGTACAGGTTAAAAGAAGTGTATTTTATCCAGAAATTGAGTGGTAAAAGAATGGGGGGAAAATCAAGAGGACAGAATCATGGAACTCAATAGGAAAAAGAAAGGGAAAAGAAACTAATAAGTGCTTAATATGTGGCAGGCATTACTGGTGTTCTATAAGATATCTCATTTAATATCTGCAACAATTGTGTATGGAGTTAGTATCCCCAACATTTTACAATTAGGGAAACAAACTCAGAAAGGTTAAATACTTTCCCCACAATTATAAAGAAATCAAAGTTTAAACCTAGGACTATCTGATTCCAAAGACTGTGTTCTAACCCATTACGCTACCTTCCACAGATAAATAAAATGGTAGCTAACTTCTCCCTCCAGCAAGGCACTGACTACAGAGGCTCCTTTACTGAACCTCTGAGCACTTAACTGGGCTCAGGGAATAAAAGGCCCAGTTATTCTATATAATTTACAAGTAATATTAGCAGGCTTAATTCTGAACTTTTCCTTCTAAACAAAAACGTTCTATTCAAACACTGGTCAAAATTATTTTAAGTGACTTAGAAAAAACAAAACACGAAAACTTAACAAAAGAAGGGGGTGAGAGGGACAATAACTCTGACTTCTGAAAGTTGCATTTCATATTATTACAAGTTCACATGCAAGGATTAGTCTATTACTTCATGATAAGAATCTAAAGCATAATAGGGTGAAATTTCTTTTGGGATGACCTAAATAAACTTATAACAATTCAACTAGTAAAGGCATACCATGCTTACATACCTAAAGCTATCATGAAAGGAGGATACAGTAGGCAAAGATCCGTTCTGTAGGTATCATTCACTATCCTCCTATTATAGAAATATAAATCATATTATTACTGAAATCAGAACTACCTTGTATGATTGTACATTTCCCCCCAGAGAGGGTCAGATTTCCCATCTTTGTAAATATTTCTTTTGTATTACTGAGGCATAAATATAAAGGTGAAAACATCAAGGGAAAAAGATGGATACATGAAAATGACAATGAATAAGCATATTTTAATAGATAAAAATATAGCTAAACAGATTTTAAAACTTAAAACCCTACAGTAAATTACAATAAGGATTTTTCCAATTTTTCAATAATTAGAAAATCAGAAGAAACCAGAAATTATACAATAAATTAATATGTATATTGAATACCAATAAAAAGTATTCTATTTGAAAGATAATCTGTTTTAATTTTTATGTAAACAGTCTGTTTTTTTGGTAAGAATCAAATTCTAATGGAAATATTAATCAAATAAAGATCCTTATCAATTTAGCATTTATAAATATAGTTAATTAAAATTCAACAAGCAAATATTTCACTCAACATACAATATCTTGGGGCACTAGTTTAATTACTTTAAAAATATTAAACTTCATATTCAGTTGTCAACCTTCCTAGCTAATAACATGTTACACTATGAATAACTTCTGTTCTAATTACCATGCAAGGGGAAGCAACATGTCTTCTTGGCCCATGTCCTGCACATACTGGAGCAAAGGTCTATAAGGATGATACACTATCAAGCAACAATCCTAGAAACAGTTTAAAAAATGTGTATGTATAAAAACAGATTTATTACAACACAAAAACTTATCATTACCCAACTGATTTGTAATTGTGTATTTCAAAATGTATTTCTCTAACTCATGCTTGCTTCCCTTTTATTCTCTTAAGCAAGCAGTATGGCAGCCCTAAACTCTACTATAATAGTGAAGGCAGTGCTCTCTCTGGAATATACCTTGGTAAATCGGTAGGCAGTCAGTCAGCATCCATTCCCTTAGAGACTCAAAGTGTCACATCTGCAACACACTGAAACCTCTTATTAGCCTATAAATCCGTAATTCCCAACTGGAGGAGCAGAATTCTGCCAAAGACATAATCTATCTTTAAATAACACCACACACATACACAAATTGTGCAAATAATTTACAGTGGCTTCATGTCCTGACTGGTTTGCTTGTAATCCTTTTATTATAGTTACTATAGAACAGAAAAATTTTCCCATCCTAAGTGGGATATACAAATTATTTTACAGGCTTCTCAGAGGATATAGGTGATGATGGTGCTACTAAGGTACTCTGATTTCACCATCATGTATCATTTGGATGGTTTTAAAATGCACCTCCCTACAGATTTCTTTAAAGAATTTCTGACTTCACTAAATTTGAAAATAAGTTTTACTCTATTAATCACAAGGAAGTAATATACTTACCATTAGTTCTAAAAGATAGAATTCACATTCTAATATCTGTTTAAAAAAAAGATTATAAATGTCAATGTGAAACAAATTAGATGAGTCTACTCAGTCTAACATAACAATTTATACATTATAGTAATGTATCACAAATTTTTACTAAAATTTTTTTGAATCAAGAAAATATATATAGTAGTTTATCAATGAACATGTGCAATAAAAATTACTTTCTTACTATTATACAACACATGTAATTATAACTTTAAAGGAATTTAATCCTTATAGAAAAGTCAGCCTCATATAAGAATTCTTACTTTTTTAATTTAAAATATCCTGTGTAAACTTCAGATTTTCTAATACACTTTCTACTCAACAAATGCAAAAATGCAATTATCTCCACTTATGTGTTACTCTTATTGTATTACAAATCAATAAAAGAAAAGAATACTGAAAATGAAACAAAAATATACAATTTATACAGGATGATGAAATCCCTCACAAGGTAGAAAAAGGACATGCCTATTAAAAATGTTAATAGAAACTCACCTTCTAAATTAATGTGAAGTTTCAAATATGGTTTTCATACTGTTCCATTACAGTAGTTCCAGCCCTAGCTATATACACTAGTATCACCTGGGAGCTTTTACAAAATACCAGTCCCTAGGCCTCAAGCCTAAAAATTCTGTTTTAGTTGGTCTGGAGAGGCCCCGATATCAGCATTAAGAAGTTCCCAAAGTGATTTAATGGGCACCCAGGGTTGATAACCATTGCTATTAAGTACTTTTTTTTTTTAAAGGTAGAAGCAATTTAGCTTTAATTTAGAATTAAAGTTTATATTCTTGTATTCAATGGTATTAAAAGTACCATTTATAGGAAACTATTCAGTTTATTCTAACATAAAATGGAACAAACTAGTTTATATACAGCTTTGACAAGTAGTTTTATTTTATACAATATACTTACATGGTTCATCCTATAAGGAAATTCCTTTGGAAAGGCATATGAAAATCTAGTTTTTACTGCAGAAAACAAAAAAATGACTTAAACTAAGAAAGTGAAAAAGTAAATTAAACCAAAATTTCTTTAACACAGTGTAGAATACTGGAGGAAGGGCTAAATCACTTTTAGTAAGAGCTCTTAGAGATGCTTAGGGACCCAGATTTTTTTGTTTTCAGGCAAGGGAAAGAACTAAGTGGCAGGAAGTCCTAGGCCCCATCTATATTACAATTAGAGAGCTTTAATTATATACTTAATGTATTAAAAAAGGGTTCTCCTGCTTAAAAAAATCAAGGGGTTGGGGAAAAAAAAATCACCTGGATTTTCTTCATCTCTAAAATCTTTCCAGCTCTAGAATGATATTGGTTTTATTTCTCAGTAATTTAGCTTAGAAGGAATACAAGTTGTGCATGTACTCAAATATATACGTATATATTTCTAAATATATATACGAAAATTGAAAAGATAATACAACCAAAGAATGTTAATAGTGGTCATCTGAGATTTAAGGATTTTTACTTATCTGTACTTTCTATAATAAATAGGTACCTCTTTATCAAAAGATGTATTTTAATAAAAGCATAAATTATGTGCAAAGTTCTCTAGGACTTTTTCATACCACACACAAACGCATACATACAGTTACATTCTTCCTTGTCACTAAGTACAAATGAAAAAACTGTTAACTATCAATCCGCTCTCTTCAAAATGATGAGTGTACACCTTTAAGTACTACTACTTGAGAAAATTGTATTCAAGTCATTATGATGCAGCATTTTATTAAATCAAGTGATGTTCTAGAGGATCTGCTCTGTGATTCCTTCCATTTGCATAAAGCCTAAGACCTCACGGAGATTTAATTTTTTTTTTCACTTACTCTATGTACTTTATTTTCAAAAAGTTTTATTTTGTAAACTGAGGAACCTAACAACTAATTTAGATAGATAATATCTGCCAAGATTTGAAACGTAAACCATTTAAAGTTGACATTAGGAAATTTATTTTATTTATTTTTTTAAAAGTTTTTTTTTAAAGATTTTATTTATTTATTTGACAGAGAGCGAGAGCAAGAACACAAGCAGGGGGAGTGGGAGAGGGAGAAGCAGGCTTTCCGCCGAGCAGGGAGCCCGACATGAGACTCGATCCCAGGACCCTGGGATCATGACCTGAGCCAAAGGCAGACGCTTAACGACTGAGCCACCCAGGCGCCCCAACATTAGGAAATTTATACTTAAGCTTTCCTTTTCTTTCTCCTTTATTTGAAAACATACTAATATTAAGGTTTCTGAGTTTTACAAATCCTTGTGATGTGAACAAGATGTAAAGTGTACAAGTAAAATAGGTACTTACATAATGGTAACTAATCAACAAGGTAACATTATCTCTGTACATAAAACAGATATGCACCCCTAACTCTGAGACCTTGACACCTAACTTTCTCTGAGATTTACCTGATACTGTTAACCTCTCTCCTACTCCATGATAAAATTGCTCTGCATTTTGATTTTCTATCTTCTAATCCTTTTCTAACTTGGGAGGAAAGTACTTCCCTCCTCTCTACTGCTACCTCTGTTACTTATGTATTTTTCATCTGCTCAACTGACAGTTCATACTTCTTTTTGCACCCTTAACCATTCCTCCTCCAATAAATCTGTCCCATCACTTACTAAAATGCTCAAATTTCTCTTAAAAACAAAAACACATAAAACCTCTACCAAATTATATTCCTCTGCTTTTAAAAGTAGGCTATTTTTTAGAACATTTTTAGATTTATAGAACGGAAAAGATAATAGAGTTCCCATATACTCCTTGTAATGGACTGAATGTTTGTCTCCCCCCAAATTCGTATGTTGAAGCCGCAATCCCTGTGTGATGGTATGTGGAGCCTCCTCCAAATTTAGGTAGTTAGGTTTGGGGGGGTTCATGAGGGTGGGGTCCCCAGGACAGACCAGTGTTCTTGTAAGAGGAAGAGCAACCTCTCTCTCACATGAGAGCACAATGAGGAGGAGGCTGTGTGCTTGCCAGGAAACAGATGGCCAATCATGGAACTGATCAAGGCAGACACTTTGTTTGATCCTGGACTTCCCAGCTTCCAGTACTGTGAGAAATAAATGCCTATTGTTTAAGCCACCCAGTCTATGGTATTTTGTTAGAGCAGCTGGAACAGACTAAAACAACCCCCCACCCAGTTTCCCTTGTTATTAACACCTGATATGAGTATGGTACATTGTTATAATTAATGAACCAATATAAATACATTATTATTAACTAAAGTCCATAGTTTATTCAGATCTCCTTAGTTTTTTCCTAATGTCCTTTCTCTGTTCCAGGCTCTCATCCAGACCACTTCACATTTACTTGTCATGTCTCCTTTAGATTCCACTTGGCTGTGACAGTTTTCCAGACTTTCCATGTTTTGAAGACTGACAGTTTTTAAGAGTACTGAATTTTTTTTCAAGTATTATTCTGTTGCTTGACCCTCTACTGGAATTTGTCTGATGTTTATTTAATGTTTAGACTGGGGTTGTGGGATTTTGGAAGGAAGGATGAGAGAAGCACCATTTCATCATATCACATGAAAGGTACACACTACTAGTGATTTATCACTGTTGATAATGACCTCAATCACCTGGCTGAGGTAGTGTTTGTTGGGTTTCTCTACTGTAAAATTATTTCCCCCTTCCCTTTTCATAATATACACATTAGAAGGAAATCAGTATGCACAATGAATACTTAAGAAGTGGAAATTTATGCTTTCCCTATTTGAGGGTGTAGTTAGCTACATAAATTATATGAAATTCTTCTGTATTAGAGATTTGTCTCTTCGCCCCCATTTATTCGATAATATATATATATTGGTATGGACTCAGGGATTTTTTTTATACTTTGGGTATAATCCAATACTACTTTTTTGTTGTTGTTGCCGTTACACAAATTCTTTTAGCTTTGGCCATTGAGAGCTCTTTCAGTTGGGTTATGTGTCCCTTTGACATATCCCCATTAAGGTAGGTGTTTTGTTTTCTGGCTTTTTTTTTTTCTTTCAGCATTTCCTTATTTATTGGCACTATGCTCCAGGTCTGTCTTGCATATTTCCTGTCCCAGTCATTTCTCCAAGGAGGCCCAGTTCCTTATTATTGGAGAATGGTATGAGAAACAAAGATCTGGGCACTAGGAAAACTCATTGTTACTGCGATGTCATTGTTTGTAGACCCTCTTAACTGACAAAGCCTACACACACACACACACACACGCACACAAATTCATGTACCTATAAATATTTATGTATATTTATGGTAAGGTAAACATGAGCTCATACTGATGTGTAACTCTAATTGATCGCTACATGGATCTTTCTGGTCTCCCCTCCTTGCTTATTTGTATATTCCCATTCCAGCATTGAGAAACCTGGCTCTCAATATCTGCCATCCATTTACCATGGATGTATATATTTACTGGAACTGTTCAATTCCAGATACAAGTATAGTAGTATTGGAATTAACTTATACCCACATTAAGTATCAAATCTATCAACTAGAGTATAGTGCTTATATGCAGTTCCTTTTGGCTTTAGTCTTATAGACTGTACTTCTTCCTAAAGTTACTTAGGTCAGCACTTCCCCTCATCCCCTTCACTGAGGTTATTTCATGTATTTGTAATACAGTTAGAGTCTCCTTTTCTCCACACCTACTCACTTCTTAGTTCTTTGAAACCTGGCTTCAACCCCTATCTCATAATGTCCAATGACAGAGACATTCTCTCTCAAAGACCACAAACCCAAAGGGTCTGTTTTTTTTTTTTTTTCCTTTGGTACTCATCTTCTAAGTAGCACATGACACTAGGCAACTCTATCTCTTGAAATTTACCAAGTCCCAAATTTCCATCATTGGCCTCACATTTCTAAGATGTTCTACTGATACATTTACACTTAGAATGTCCAAGATTAAATTTAACTCTTTTCAGAACCTACTTATTCTCCTTGTCTGGTACCACCTTCACCTTCCCAATGCCCAGGCAAAAACACCTCAAAAATCATTTTTGACTTGTCTTAAATCCTTGCTTTTCAAAAGTCCTGCTGACTCTATTATGCAAATCTAGCCTGCTTATTCTCCTTGCTGGGAGCCAAAACATCACTTTAAGCCTTCATTAGTACTCACCTGGGTCACTTCAATAACTTCCAAATAATATTTTTCTACTTTAAACTTGTTAGCTTTTATTTCTCACAGCACCCTGTGGTGACGGCACTGACTACAATTTGCAGCTTTATATGTATTTCAGAGGGATTTTTTGGGTGGTTTTTAAATTGTGGTAAAATACACATTATATAGAATTTATCATCTTTAGCCATTTTTAAGTATGCAGTTCAGTAATATTAAGTACATTCACAATTGTGCAACCATCACCACAATCCATCTCCTGAATTTTCACCTTGCAAAACTGAAACTCCATACTCATTCAACAATTTCCCATTTTTTCCCCTCCCTCCAGCCCCTAACAGCCTCTAGTCTACTTTCTATTTCTATTAATTATTCATAATATTTAATGGAATCATATAGTATTCATCTTTTTTGACTGGCCTATTTCACTTACTTTAATGTACTCAAGGTTCATCCATGGTTTTTTTTTTTTTTTAAGATTTCATTTTTAAGTAATCTGTACATCCAGTGTGGGGATCAAACTCAGAACCTTGAGATCAAGAGTCATATGCTCTCTGACTGAGCCAGCCAGGTTCATCCATGTTGTAGCATGTGAAAAACTTGAAAATCTGTCTACCTCAACTCACATTCTCCTCCAATTCACCTTACATTATTCTGCCAGACTCACCTTCCTAACACACAATTCTAGCATTATCATCATGTTGAGAAATAAAGCCTTCAAATGTACCACCATCATCAACAGAACAAACTGCAGATTCTTCACTGAAGGCCCTCTAGGACTTTTTCCAGCTATTTCCTTCCTAACCATTCACTGAATGTAACTCATTAGTTTCTCTATTTTTGACCAAACTGTTTGATGTTCCTAGACTATCTTTCCCCTACATTTCCCAGGTTCAAAGTCTATCTTTCTTTACCAAATTCAATTTAAGCCTTTCTGGATTAATCTAACAAATAACCTTTTACCACTCAAAACATTCACTGCATTCTCTAATTCTCTTATGCAACTTATTTTTTTCTTTTGTATTATATTTGTATATGCATGTCTTATGTTCTTGTCCTTAAATTCCTTGTATTTATCTTTGTATCCACCACTGCAACCAATATGGTGTTTCCAGTGAGGACAATGCTGTTATTGATGATGATGAGTAGGCACTGAAGTTTACTGAGTATTATGGACTGAACCATGCTCTCTGCCCCTGCCCCTGCCAAATTCCAATGTCGAAGACCTAACCCCCAATGTGACTGATTTGGAGACAGGTAATTAAGAGGTACTTATGGTTAAATGTGGCCATAAGGGTGGGGCACAAATTCTATAGGACTGGTGTCCTTAAAAGAGGAAGAAACACTAAGGGTACACACCCACAGAGAAAGGACCATGTGAGGACATAGCAAAAAGGTGGCCCTCTGAAAACCAGGAAGAGAGGCCCCGGAGAAACTAATTTGTTGACACCTTAATCTTGGACTTCAGCTTCCAGACTGTAAGAAAATAATTTTGTTGTTTAAACCACTTAGTCTCTATCACTTTGTATGGCAGGCCTAGCAAACTAAGACATTGAGCAAGACACTGTTCTAAGAGTTTTACTGATATTAACTCATTTGATCCTCACAACAACCCTTCTTCATAAATATTATTAATCCTCATCTGCAAAATGAGAAACTGAGACACAGAGATTGTATTTTGCTCGATTTGCCACATAGAAGGCAAGGGAGCTGAAATTTGAAATCTAAGCTGTATAAGCCTATATAATACACTATTAACATTTATGAAATAAACAAAAATATTCTACTATAACAATTTCTTCTTCATTGGTAACTAAATACTGTTATGAATATACCTTTATGGCTCTGCATGAAAAATAAACCTTAGTAATAGGTATTTTACATTTTCTTTTCTTTTTTTTTTTTTGAGAGAGAGAGAGAGCACACACACATGTGAGCAGGGGGAGGGGCAGGAGGAGAGAAAGAGAGAATCTCAAGCAGGTTACACACTCAGCACAGAGCCCGATGCGGGGCTTAACCTCAGGACCCTGAGACCCTTGATCTCAGGACCCTGGGCTGAAATCAAGAGATGGATGTTTAATTGACTCAGCCACCCAGGTGCCCCAGTATTTTACATTTTTAAAAATACACACTTTCTAAAAAATTTGGAAAACAAAAAATAACATAAGAAGAAAATAAGGCACCTAGAATCCACTACTCACATATGAGCACTGCTAACATTCTGGTGGATTTCCTTCTGGTGGATTTCCTTCCAGTTGTTTTTGAATTTTTAATAATTCAATTTTCCAGAGGGCAATCCAATACTTATCAATGTGATATATCTGCTATATTAAATTCTATGGAAAAACTGGTTACTACTCTGCTGTTCTTAGAAGAGTAAAATATGGCATGGAAAAGACTGAATTAGATTATTACACTCTTCTCAGAAAAGGGAATGACCCCAAAATATGAAAATTAGTCTGGTTCACAAACCTAAAAACACAAAAACCTTCTGCCTCTTCTGTGCAAGATCAGGTAAGTAAAAAAAAGAAAAAATTCTGCATTATCTTTCATCTTTTGTTAGGTGCTGGCTTTGTGCTTAACCTATGAAGATGGAGCATAGCATAATGTTAATACCTTGTATACAATATTTTACAATCACTAGTCTACAGTGTTATTTCCTTTAATGTCCTGACTCCAAGGCAGCTAAACCCCATCTTTTTGGAAAAAGAACTAAAGCCAAGAGATAAAGGAATTTGCTCAAGGTTATACAGCTGTTGCTCAGACAGAACTGAGGCTGACTACTATCGTCAGCATTTTTTTCCTTGCACTGTGTTTTTCAATATGGAGGCAAAATACATTATTCCTATCAAATACATACACTACAATTACTAAAGAAACAGTTTACTTTACCCACAAGAATGACACAATGGCTAGTCATTATGAAGCAAAAAAAATACAATAAAACTGGGAAATAAGTTTTTTCTTTACCCTTATTATTTAAGAGCCACTGAGTTGAAGTTTTTGGACAATAGTTACCAGTCATTTTTGGCATTAAACGTAATGTCTTGGACATAATACTCTAAGTGGTTTTTAGTATTTTGACTTTATTTTTAGCCAAATACACTAGCCATAAATGTGACCCCAGGAGATTTAATAAACCCAACCAATATTTCACAGGTCTCATAAACTGAAAAACATTAAGGTCCTATAGAGCTTTTTTAAAGAATTACATCCTTAAAGCAGGATATACTTTTTGCACTTACATACAGAAGTAGCAGCAGAAATCAATCTTGTATTTGAGACTACTCCAAATTCCTAGAGAAATAAAAGTAGATGAGATCAGGTACATAGTAATCCAATGAACCTAAGGGTATCTGGGTCTATTCAAAGCAAAGCATTTCCTATGTCCCCCCATGTTTATAGTCTGGTTTTCATCTTCTACCTACTTGAAGCATGAAGTATTTAAATCTCTAAACGTATTACTTTTCCTTAAAATGGCTGCAATAAGACAAATGTTTAAATAATTTTGTCATTTAACATCATTGAGAGATACCAAATTAGAAACCAAGCCCTAAAGCAACAGTGCCAGTTTTCTACACCCCAATTAGTTTCCAAAAAGATTTTTTAGATTCTATACTTAACTGCAATAAAAATACTAAGTATGCTTCCTATTCAACTGAACCTGGACTAATGAACAGGTATTGCATGCTATTTAGTAATAAAACAGTTGAATCTCTAAAGATAAACTTTAGTATCACCAAAAGAATTTAAAAGACCATAGAAACTATTATTCTATTTGGAAGAGGAAGACAAGAATGATAGAATGATATATTATAAAACTTCCTTTTCTTTTTCTTTGTTTTTTAAAGTAGGCTCTACCCATGCCCAGTGTGGAACCCAAGACAGGGCTTGAATTCACAACTCTGAGAGCAAGACCTGAGCTGAGATCAAGAGTCAGACACTTAACTGACTGAGCCACCCAGGTGCCCCATAAGATTTTTTATTTTTTTAAATAATTTCAGCCTTACCATAAAGCAAGCTTTTTTTTTCCTTTTTTGAGAGAGAGAGAGTGCAAGAGGGGATGGGGGTAGGGGCACGGCAGAGGGAGAGGGACAGAATCTCAAGCAGACTGTGTGATGAGCAGGAAACTCAATGCAGGGCTCCATCCCTTGACTCGGACATCATGACCTGAGCCGAAATCAACAGTCGACCCTTAACTGACTGAGCCACCCAGGTGCCCCAAGACTCTTAATGTCAGTTCCCATTTCCTCTTTGAATTTAATATGCCAACATTGTAAAAATAACTAAAATTTATGAGGTGACCCACCTTACATATATTGTCTCATTTAATTTGATTAACCTCATAAGATTACTAAAACCTTCACTTCATTTTAAAACAGAAAAATCAAGAATCGGTTCCTTATTCAACAAAAGAAATAAAACAAAACCTAGTCCTAATCTATATAAATACCTTCAACCGGGGCGCCTGGGTGGCTCAGTCGTTAAGCGTCTGCCTTCGGCTCAGGTCATGATCCCAGGGTCCTGGGATCGAGCCCCGCATCGGGCTGCCTGCTCGGCGGGAAGCCTGCTTCTCCCTCTCCCACTCCCCCTGCCTGTGTTCCCTCTCTCGCTGTGTCTCTCTCTGTCAAATAAATAAGTAAAATCTTAATAAATAAATAAATAAATAAATAAATAAATAAATAAATAAATAAATAAATAAATACCTTCAACCTATATCCTTGTTTTGGGGGATGGGGAAGGTATGTATGTGTGTATATATATTTATATTTATATTTAAACCTCAAACCATAGTAACTGAAACTAAAAAGTAAATGCCTCAGACATCTTAAAAGTCATTTCTGTATAATTCCCACACAACTGGACAAAACACAGAAAGATCTGGTCACAGTTAATGATTAAAAACAGTAACGCTATAACCAAATATAAAGGGATACATTTTTTTTTCAGGAATAATTCTTTTTTTTTTTAAGTATCCTCTCCACCCAATGTGGGGCTTGAACTCATGACCCCGAGATCAAGAGTCATACGCTCTACCAACTGGAGCCAGCCAGGCATCCCAATCCAGGAATTCTTTATCCAAAATTCTTAGAGTGAAAACTTTCACTCAGTACGTCACATAACAAAAGATATTTAACAAACAAAACAAATTAAAATCCCCAAATTAATCTTTAAGAGTAGAAATTTATAAAGATTTTATCTAGATTTTCCATACTGGTTGTGCTTCAGATACATCAAATTACATGGTAATATTTGGAAAAACCACCCCATAATATGGGTTTTTTATAAACACTTCCTTTTCCCACTAAAGAACTTAGTAATAACAGGGCTGGTTCTGTCCCTTTAAGCTACCACTTATAAATAATTAGAAAACCATAAACCTCTAGAAAGTCTGTCTTAATATTATTTCTAATAGGGTCAACTCTCATTACTTTAGGTAGTAATTAGGAAAGATGTCTTAAATAATCCTAAATAATGACTAAAACAAAACTAAATCAAAATTGAGTACCAAAAGGAATATAAACCTATTAGGTTTAAATTACATTCGATTTTTAAGAATACAATTACGATTCTAAAGACATCTAAGAAACATAATACAAAGGGTTCAGAACTTTAAAGACTGCATATATTATAATGAACATCAGTCAATATCTCCTATTACTGTCTGGATTTTAGCTGCACTCTCTCAAAAATACTGAAAAGGAAAATGTGAGCAGAGATTTAGTCTCAGCTCCAAGTTCCCATCTCTCTTCTCTCTCCCTCACCTAGTTTCTCTACCCTCATCAGAATCTATTTGACTAGAGCCACACTCAGTCCTTGCTTTCCCTACAGTCTGGCAGGCAGCCATTATCAGGAAGCAGGGAGGGAAGACAGTAGGACATAGGATGCATATGGAGAAGGAGGGACACAGGAGGAGGTACTGTAACTCAGGTTATAGTAGCGAAGCTGTGGCACTTATGGAATACTACTTAGTGCCAAACAGTAAATGTCTTAGAGGACCTAGAACAAAGCAGTTAAAAGCATGGAATTAGTAGCCAGACTCCCAGGCTCTGCCACTTACCAGCTCTATGATCTTAGGCAAGTTTCTTAATCTCTGTGTACCTCAGTTTCCTCCTTTATGAAATGAGGATATTACTACCATACACCCCATTGTTTGTTATGAGGATTGTAAGTCATATTATGAGTCAGTTATAGTTGTAAAAGAACTTAGAATAACACTTGGTATATAGTAAATGCTATGTAAGTGTTTGTTAAATGAATGTATAAAGACATGTATATCTTTGATTTTGTATGAATTTCAAAATTTTGCATACATCACCATCTGTCATTATTTTTATATAGGTAATATGAAAACTAGGGCAGATTAATCAATGTACATTGACTATACTTCAATGAAGAACAGAAAACTATTTCATACCTCTACTTTGGATGCCAAAAACACACATGTAGGAGCCATTAATACAGGATCTATACTTTTGAGAGAATACCTAAAATATGATAAAACAAAATTAAATGTCATTCATATAGAAAACACTGGGAAAAAAACCAAGATAACGCTAGGGCAAACACATGATTCATTTATACTAAGGTTCATCAACATAACGTAAGAGTTTCAAATAGGTGTAACATAATCCCCAAATTAAAGTCCTACCTGGCATAGAATCTCTTGAAATAGACTGTAGCAGTGGCAATAACTTGTTGTCTTAATTTAAGATGTTCACCTAATGCTTGAATAACTAAAAGAAAAATAATAAAGTTTTAAATGTTCTTCTGGTATCTTTATAATATTGACATTGAAAAATAACTTTCATGTGGTTAAATCATGACTGTATTAATTTTTAACAAAGAGAAAAACCTACATATGCTATAAAGCTCTACTTGGATCACACTGGGCTAAGACTAGGATTTGCAAATCTGTTAAAAAAAATATAGGTATGCATTAACAGCAATGAAAAATAGAAAGTGTTCCATAGCAAACACTATTCTTATATTAAGAAGGTTGAATGATAGGCATTTTCCTCTACCTTCTAAGTATTTTCAATGTTTTTTATTATCTTTAGAATAAATATAAAAGGAAAATATTAGACAGTAATCAAACGCACTACAACTTCCACTGTATAAAGTTTATTAAAAAGGCCATAATGAATTCTCCAAACAACAGAGAGGTAAGTTTGCAGAAGAGTGAACTGAAGGTTAGAAAGATCATGTAACAAAGCTACCATGTGGGAGAGCAAGGATCTTTTGACTCTAAATCATCTACACAAACTTGTAAGATAAGAATGATCAATAGGATGCCAGCCCAAAGAATCCATTCATCTTCAAAATACTTGCTTTAGCCAATCTTAAACTGGGTTTAATAACACATTATAAAGGCTTAGGGAGATTAATGAACACTTTGAAACTGTCTTGAGTGTCTCTACAATGTAAGATTCACAAAAGACTGTATTTAGATCACTTAGAAAGATAAATGAATATGTTATAAAAAGAATACATGAATAAAAATATTAAGTAGGGACTAAAACAGCTTATAACAAATTACTATACAAAAGTTTTAATTCAGAGGTAACCAACTGTACCATTTCAGTCAATTTTTTTTAAAGTTTACCATTTGTAAAAAATATCTGTAATTTCCAATACTCTTCTTCTGAGAGAAACTTTAAGTCCTTCTGGCGTTCCTTCAACAGATCTTGTTTATCCAAAATCCATTGTAAACTAGAAGAATGAAGATGTTAAGACACGTTACAGAAAATCAACTAACAAAGTCACAAAAAATATACTAATACTGAACAAGTTATGAACATTCTGAGAAATACAAAGTGCAAGAAGTAACCTTGGAAGATAGCATCTTTCACATTTCTTGAAACTCTGAGAATTATCTAATGAATGTAAATATGTCCTGAAAAAAAATTCCACTCTAATTTTCTTTTTTTTTTAAGATTTTATTTATTTATTTGAGAGAGAGAATGAGATAGAGTATGAGAGGGGGGAGGGTCAGAGGGAGAAGCAGACTCCCTGCTGAGCAGGGAGCCCGATGCGGGACTCGATCCCGGGACTCCAGGATCATGACCTGAGCCCAAGGCAGTCGCTTAACCAACTGAGCCACCCAGGCGCCCCTTCTGTCTCTTTTTTGTTCTCTCTCTCACTACCTTATATTGTTATTTCATTGGTTTTAAGACTCTGATATCAAGAAAGATCTTACAATCAGTGATGCCTTAAGCTTTTAATCTGCAGCATGTTTATTTTTCCCTAGTGATACATAAAATAATGGTATAGTTATTTGGCATCAAATGATGATGCCTTAGATTTGAATTATCTTTTCTCATTTGTTCATGAGTAACTGCAGTATTTCTCTACAAATTCCACTCATGTTAAAATCTGCTTCAGAATTTATTACTAGTAGTAGTCAAGTCTACTGTTTTTAACCAGAGATATGAAATCGAAATGACCCAAAACACTATTCTGCAACTTGCTTTTGTCACTCATTATGTTCTGGAAGTCTTTCTATGTCAACAAATTTGTTATTCAGCATACCTTTAAACTGCTTCACAGCATTATGGATGGATTGTTACTTAGTTAATTCCTATTAATAGGCATGTAGCTTATAATTTTTCACTATTAAAAATAATGCTTTAATGAATAGCTTTGTAATTCACCCTTGCATATTTGGTTAATAATATATTTAAAATAATTTCCTAGAAATAGAAGTGATTGGTTGGTTTTGCTGATAACTTTGTTTTACATTGTCAGTTTGTACTCCATTCGTCACACCAATTTCCATTCCTATTAACAGTACATGAGAGTTTTAAAATATTTAAACCCCCTATGGGTTACTGCCAATCTTTTAAATACTTTACAACTTAAAGGCAAAGTAGTATCTTACTGTTTTCGGGGTTTTGTGTTTTAGTTTACTTCTGAGATTAAACATTTTTCCATGCCTTACTGGCCAAAAATACAGTTCTTCTTTTGTACACTGTAATTTTAATGACAATTTTTCTAATGGGATGGTCTTTTTCACAATTAAGAGATTCTTCTCATATAATTTGTGTACTATGGATAATAAATCATTTGTCAAATAAACTGCAAACATTTCCTGAGTTTAGCATGATCTCTTAATATTCAATTATTTGTAACACAGAAATATGAATCACTTATTAAAACCAACCCATATTTTACTTTGATTTTATGCTGGTCACAAGTGGGAAGGCCTTCCCTGACACTAAATGATTAAAAGAAAAAAAATTCACCTATATTTTCTAATACACTTAAGGCTTTTTTCTTTCAATTTTTCTTATTCCTATGCCATGTTATTTTAAAACATAAGATTAAATTATTAAAATCTGGTATGGAAAATATTCCCCTTGCTAATTACTATTCTTTAGAAAAACTTCTCGATATTCTATTACAATTATTATTCTAAGACTTGAACTTTAGAAGTATTATGTCAAGTCCCAATTGCATTAAATTTAGAAATCAATATAGAGAGAAATGCTATCTTTACAATGCTAGAATTCAAACTCCATTTATTAAAATCTTTATGTTCTACCACAGAATTTAAAAAATTTTCTTTCTATAGGTCCTGCACATTTCTTTAGTTTATTCTTGTGTATTTCATATTTTCCATTGGTACTTGTAACTATATTTTTCCATCATTCATTTAAAAGAAAGCTTTCCACATTTGACAAAGTACAGCATCCTTTCTTGATCAAAACTCTTCAGAGTATAGGCACAGAGGGTACATACCTCAATATCATAAAAGCCATCTATGAAAAACCTACAGCGAATATCATTCTCAATGGGGAAAAACTGAGAGCTTTCCCCCTAAGGTCAGGAACGCGGCAGGGATGTCCACTATCACCACTGCTATTCAACATAGTATTGGAAGTCCTAGCCACAGCAATCAGACAACAAAAAGAAATCAAAGGCATCCAAATTGGTAAAGAAGAAGTCAAACTCTCACTCTTTGCAGATGATATGATACTTTATGTGGAAAACCCAAAAGACTCCACCCCAAAACTGCTAGAACTCATACAGGAATTCAGTAAAGTGGCAGGATATAAAATGAATGCACAGAAGTCAGTGGCATTCCTATACACCAACAACAAGAAAGAAGAAAGAGAAATTAAGGAGTCGATCCCATTTACAATTGCACCCAAAACCATAAGATACCTAGGAATAAATCTAACCAAAGAGGCAAAGGATCTGTACTCAGAAAACTATAAAATACTCATGAAAGAAATTGAGGAAGACACAAAGAAATGGAAAAACGTTCCCTGCTCATGGAGTGGAAGAACAAATATTGTGAAGATGTCAATCCTACCTAGAGCAATCTACACATTCAATGCAATCCCCATCAAAATACCACCCACTTTTTTCAAAGAAATGGAACAAATAATCCTAAAATTTGTATGGAACCAGAAAAGACCCCGCATAGCCAGAGGAATGTTGAAAAAGAAAAGCAAAGCTGGCAGCATCACAATTCCAGACTTCCAGCTCTATTACAAAGCTGTCATCATCAAGACAGTATGGTACTGCAACAAAAACAGACACATAGATCAATGGAACAGAAGAGAGAGCCCAGAAATGGACCCTCAACTCTATGGTCAACTAATCTTTGACAAAGCAGGAAAGAACGTCCAATGGAAAAAAGACAGTCTCTTCAACAAATGGTGTTGGAAAAATTGGATAGCCACATGCAGAAGAATGAAACTGGACCATTTCCTTACACCACACACAAAAATAGACTCCAAATGGTTGAAAGACCTCAATGTGAGACAGGAGTCCATCAAAATCCTAAAGGAGAACACAGGCAGCAACCTCTTCAACCTCAGCTGAAGCAACTTCTTCCTAGAAACATCGCCAAAGGCAAGGGAAGCAAGGGCAAAAATGAACTATTGGGACTTCATCAAGATAAAAAGCTTTTGCAAAGCAAAGGAAACAGTCAACAAAACCAAAAGACAACCGACAGAATGGGAGAAGATATTTGCAAATGACATATCAGATAAAGGGCTAGTATCCAAAATCTATAAAGAACTCATCAAACTCAACACCCAAAGAACAAAGAATCCAATCAAGAAATGGGCAGAAGACATGAACAGACATTTTTCCAAAGAAGACATCCAAATGGCCAACAGACACATGAAAAAGTGCTCAATATCGCTTGGCATCAGGGAAATCCAAATCAAAACCTCAATGAGGTATCACCTCACACCAGTCAGAATGGCTAAAATTAACAAGTCAGGAAACGACAGATGTTGGCCGGGATGCGGAGAAAGGGGAACCCTCCTACACTGTTGGTGGGAATGCAAGCTGGTGCAGCCACTCTGGAAAACAGTATGGAGGTTCCTCAAAAAGTTGAAAATAGAGCTACCCTATGATCCAGCAATTGCACTACTGGGTATTTACCCCAAAGATACAAAAGTAGGGATCCGAAAGGGTACGTGCACCCTGATGTTTATAGCAGCAATGTCCACAATAGACAAACTGTGGAAAGAGTCAAGATGTCCATCGACAGATGAATGGATAAAGAAGATGTGGTGTATATATATACAATGGAATATTATGCAGCCATCAAAAGGAATGAGATCTTGCCATTTGCAACGACGTGGATGGAACTGGAGGGTATTATGTTGAGCGAAATAAGTCAAACAGAGAAAGACATGTATCATATGACCTCACTGATATGAGGAATTCTTAATTGCAGGAAACAAACTGAGGGTTGCTGGAGTGGGGGGTGGGGTGGGAGGGATGGGGTGACTGGGTGATAGACACTGGGGAGGGTATGTGCTCTGGTAAGCGCTGTGAATTGTGCAAGACTGTTGAATCTCAGATCTGTACCTCTGAAACAAATAATGCCATATATGTTAAGAACAACAAAAAAAAGAAGGTAACAGGAGGGGAAGAATGAAGGGGGGGAAATTGGAGGGGTAGACGAACCATGAGAGACAATGGACTCTGAAAAACAAACTGAGGGTTCTAGAGGGGAGGGGGGTGGGAGGATGGGTTAGCCTGGTGATGGGTATTGAGGAGGGCACATTCTGCATGGAGCACTGGGTGTTATGCACAAAAAATGAATCATGGAACACTACATCTAAAACTAATGATGTAATGTATGGGGATTAACATAAGAATAAAAAAATTTAAAAAAAAAGAAAGCTTTCCATTTTTACATTTTGTAACTGGTCACTTTATTAAACCTTTATTATTTATAATAATTTTTCAATTAACTGAATTTTCAAGTTAATTTTATCTCCACAGGCTGATAATTTTGTCATTTTTAGTATCTCATTCTATTAACTGTATTGAGTAGCAATTCATAACAATGTTAAACAGGCACCCTAATTTTCCTAATGTTTCACCATTAAATATCTCTTATTCATGCTTTGATGTTTTTACCATGTTAAGAAAGAATCCTTTTTAGTCAAAAATAGATGTTGAATTTTAATAGACATCTTTTGATGCCTTCACTGTTTATTAACAGATTTTCTAACACTGACTATATTTCTACAATAAAATCACTATCATTTTTTTCTATTTCTAATATAATGTTAGACTCTACTTGTTAATAATTTATGATGTTTGTATTAATATTCAAAACAGACTGTTTTTAGTGCTACCTTTGCTAGATTTTATCAATGTTCTTGTAGCTTCAAAGAGAGAACTGGAAAGCTTTCTTTCTGTGTGAACTGGAATAATTTCAGTAGCAGATCCTCTTGAAAATGGGAAAACATTTACCCATGAAATAATGTGAGCCAGAGCATTTTTTAAGGGGTAGCTCTTTGGTAACTTTCTTTTTGTTTTTTTAAAGATTTTGTTTATTTATTTAATTGACAGAGAGAGAGAGACAGCGAGAGAGGGAACACAAGCAGGGGGAGTGGGAGAGGGAGAAGCAGGCTTCCCACGGAGCAGGGAGACCGATGCGGGGCTCGATTCCAGCACCCTGGGATCATGACCTGAGCTGAAGGCAGTCGCCTAACCAACTGAGCCACCCAGGCGCCCCTCTTTGGTAACTTTCTTAATTTGTTTTGGCTTTCAAATTTATTACCATGGAGATAACCCAAAAGTACATCTGGATTTATTGACTTTTCTCATTCCTAATTTTGTATCTTCGTATCATCCCTCTTTTCTTTGATTCAACTAGCAGCAGTTTAGTCTACTATTTTGATTTTTCCTTCCAAAGAACCAGCTCTTATAATTTCTGACTATTTTTCCTTTTACTATGTTAATATCAGTGTTACCTTTATTAAGTCTTTTTTTTACCCCCTCCCCCGGATTTATTTCACTGTTTCCTTTTTAATATTCTCAGACTATTCTGACTTATTTTTATTTTTTCTCAGTTATTCTGGATGTTAGTTTATAACTGTGGCTTTGGCTACATCCCATAGGTATGGATATATATTGATCTCATCAGGTTATTTCCTTGATATTATGTAACTGTATTTTCAGTTTCCTCTTTGATACAATTAAATATCCAGAATTGATTTTGTACATTTTTATTTGTTACCTCTTCATTAATTCAGTCAGCCACCTAGTATTTAGTGCCCTTCTACTTTTACTGCAGTAAGGTCAAAGAATGTGTTGTGCTCTACTTCAACTTTCTAGAAAATGCTGTGATTCACTATGTTCTGGAATTATCATTAATTTCATCCTCACAGTCACTTAAAGTTCTTAAAAAGATAAATTTCACAAACAAATATTTAAGTTTTTCCTCACAGCACATAGTATGGAAGATAAACCAAGAACACTTATACATAGCAAATCTCATAAAATTTAAGATTACATTGTTTGTAAAATTCACCATTATTTCATGTGCTAAGAAAAAAACTGTCATGCTCATTTCAGAAATGTTAAAATGTGCATCTTCAAGCCATGATAAACATAGTTCATGTCAATTTTCCTCTTTTCCCAAAATCACCTAAAACGATGGTTTTTGTCATCTTTTTGTTGGTTTGTTTTTCCAGAATTGATCGCCTTGTCTTTCTCACTTGCAACCTTTTGCAGATAAGGCACTTCATGATTCTGAAGAGAGCTCAGTGGCCCCTTCCTCCAGGACTATTTGAATTGTGAGGGAAGGACACTTTCAAAAAAAGTACATTTAACATTATAACAATTTTATATTTCAAAAGTGAAAAAACATTATAGATCCTGCTCCCCCTTTGGTAAATGTTCTCATTATGCTTTCACTTATTGGCCAATAAGTGAAAGCATAATGAGAACATTTACCAAAAGGCAGGTAGTATCTTTTTTTTTTTTAAGTTGAAAAATGGCTCTAACTTCTGATAATCAACAGCTAGCTACCTGTCAATTCTTTTTTTTTTTTTAAGATTTTATTTATTTATTTGAGAGAGAGAATGAGAGACAGCACAAGAGGGAAGAGGGTCAGAGGGAGAAGCAGAGCCCCCCCCCCCGCCCCCCGCCGAGCAGGGAGCCCGATGCGGGACTCGATCCCGGGACTCCAGGATCATGACCTGAGCCGAAGACAGTCGCTTAACCAACTGAGCCACCCAGGCGCCCTACCTGTCAATTCTTTCACCTTCTTTCAAACTTTATTAAAATACTACCCCTTGTCCACTAAATTTTCTGTATTTTAATTTTGCCCAAGCAAATATTACACTGAGCAAAACAGTGCAAAATAAAAATATAATCAGAGGTAAGGCTTCTACAGAATTTCATCTCCACAGAATCACTTACAGCAAGAGGAAAGCCTGCTTTTCTGAAAATAGGTTTTTCTTCTCTTACAAAGGACTAAAAACAGAATGAATAGGAATCCAACTTCTTCACAGAATCAAAATTTAAACTACAATTACTAATGGTCTCTTGGCATTAAGATATATTTACACTAAAATAGAGAGTATCAGGTTCTGTTCATCTTTCAACCGTAGAGCGGAAAGCCTAGTCAAAGTTCAATTAGTCTCATCACCCACCTTTAGGCCTAAACAAATGTATTTAGGGAAAAATATTTTTAATATTACTCTAGTTCTTCCACGGTCAAAACAAAAACAAAAACAAAAACTTACTCATGAAATAGGTTAAAGAAATCGGCAAAGTCACTGGAAAATACATGCTTAAAACAAAATATAAGGCACAGACTAATGAAATGGATACATTTTGAGAGCACCTGCCCTATTCCTAACCAACATACAACTCCATCTAGTCATAAGGTAAGGCAGGAAGCGGTCAGACAGCAGAAACAAGACTGACTCTGGACTCTCTCCTCGGAATAGTATTAAATCCACTCAAGATAGAAGGTCAATGACAAAAGACTACAATGCCGACAACTGAAGAGAGCCCAGGCAAAAGCGAACCCCAACTGTCCTAAAGAGCCGGCCTCACAGTCCGGAACTGTGCCACACTTTCCATACCTGCGCCCATCCCATCCCACCCCATCCCATCCCACCCCACCCCACCCCGCTTCCAGGCCTAGTTTATCCAGGAATCCGAAGTTAAACTCCTTCCTTCCTCGGAGACCGAACCTCTTTAGCCCCCGCCCTTGCCCGCTCACAGATCTTTCCCCCCCACCCGCGAAACGCAGCCAGGGGGCGGGGAGAGGGGAGTCGCCAGAGAAAGTGCATCCCGCTTCCGGCCGCTGCCGCCCCCGGGAGACCCCGCGGCGCTCGGGACAGGGGCCGGGATCCAGGCCAAAGGGAGTCGCAGGCCCCGTCCTCACCGACTCCCAAGAACAAGCCCCGGGCGAGAAGACGGAAGATCACTTACTAATGGGAGCTCTGCCAAAAGTTCCCTGCCATGGAACACAGCTTGCCCTGATAAAAAAGCACCAGCCGGCGGAGCGGCCCGCGGAGCGACCATAGACCCAGCCCGCCCGGTAACCGCGCTCCTGGATCTGATCTGCTCGGCTCCGCTCCGCGGCGGCTACGGTGAGAGGAAGAGGATGGCACTCTAGTCTCCTTGACGCCGGCCGGCAACACTCTACAGTGTAAACCCGTTCCTATGGATAAAAGTTCCGGCCAGCCCCGCGGTAGCAGACGGGGAGCAGACAGTCTGTGGGCGCACTGAGGGGGCGGGAACTAGTGCTCACAGAAGGCTCCCGGCGGTCGAGAGGCTGTCGCGAGAGTTTCTTACCGGTTCCGGCCTAGAGCTGGGGAGCTGTTTTTTGTGAGCTACGTCGTTCAGTGAGTGGGGAGGAAACCTGGGCAGGTTTGGATTTTGTTACTTCATTTTACAGGCCGCCACTATGGCACTTCGTTAAAGTGTAAGGTTTCGTGACTTCAGTTCCTTCTCCTGCTATTGAAAAGAGGTATAAAGCTTATTTTGTCTTCAAGGACCTACCAAAATTTACCTGCACCAAGCCGAATACGTTCTTCATGGAGTCCTTTTGGACTGGAATGCAAATTTTTAGAGCAGCAATACTTTTCCGTGCCAGAGACTACCGGTTTTGCAGAACAGTGAAAAACATTTTTCCTTTATTACATATGATGTGTGTGTATTCACACATAAGTGCCAAATAGAAAGATACAGCCAGAAATGCAATAATTTAATTTTACAAGATGAAATAATCTGTATTTCCCATTTTTATTATCATTGTGATGTTGCATTTTATTGTAAAACTTATTATTCTAAATAATTAGATACACCTGAAAGCTGTTCATAGAAAACCAATGTTCTGAGCAGCTTACTGCATTATTTTTCAGCTAAGTGAAATAAGTCAGAGAAAGAAAATAGCATATTTCATTCATTCATATGCACTTTAAGAAACAAAACAAATGGAGAAAAAAAAAAGAGACCAGAAAACCAGATACTTTTAAGTATAGGGAACTGGTGGTTGCCAGAGAGGAGGTGAGTGAGGGGATGGATTAAAAAGGTGAAGAGGGGGGCGCCTGGGTGGCTCAGTTGTTAAGCGTCTGCCTTCGGCTCAGGTCACGATCCGAGGGTCCTGGGATCGAGCCCCGCATCGGGCTCCCTGCTCCGCGGGAAGCCTGCTTCTCCCTCTCCCACTCCCCCTGCTTGTGTTCCCTCTCTCGCTGTGGCACTCTCTGTCAAATAAATTAATAAAATATTAAAAAAAAAAAAGTGAAGAGGATTAAGAGTACATAGATCACTGATCAGCACTGAGTAATGTATGGAATTGTTGAATCATTCTATTGTACACCTGAAACTAATACAACACTGTATGTTAATTATACTTGAATTAAAAAACAAAGGTAAAATTAGAGAAAAACTTTTTTTTTTTTAAAAAAGACATTATTTTTCACATTGTGGTTAGAGACCAGTTAGGGTGTCATGACACTGTGAATCTGAAAAGCATTTTCTTTTTTTTTTTTAAGATTTTATTTATTTATTTGACAGAGAGAGACACAGCGAGAGAGGAAACACAAGCAGGGGGAGTGGGAGAGGGAGAAGCAGGCTTCCCGCGGAGCAGGGAGCCCGATGCGGGGCTCCATCCCAGGATCCTGAGATCATGACCTGAGCCGAAGGCAGACGCTTAACCGATTGAGCCACCCAGGCGCCCCGAAAAGCATTTTCTTGAATGAAATAAAATATCAGCTATGTCAGAAACAGCAAGTATTATTTTAAAATTTTGATTCATACACACGCACATGCATTAGGTCCAGATGTGAAATGCATGTCAGTGACTTAACATAAAAATATTTTATATGTCACATGTCACTACCATAAAGTCTGATGTGGATTAGATTGACCTCCTTGGTGGTTGTCCTCCGGATCATCAAGGATCTAGCATATTTTCATCATTCAACTATTGCATCTTGGTTCTTTGCTTCTAGGCTTAAAAATCTTTCTAGAGAGAGCACAAAGGACTCTCACTGGCTCTTGATCAGTGTTAAGAGACTTGAACCAGAAACAATACCATCACTTCCTCTCATGACCCATTGACCAGAATAGGCATGTGACTCTAAATTAACTGCAAGGGAGGCCGAGAAATGTAGGGGAACATGTAGTATGTTTGATGAACACTTACGTCTGCTACAATGCAGATCACAGTCAAAAAATTTTTTAAAGTGGTGGCTTAAGAAACATCAGGCCATAGACTACTTCACAGAGGTTCAGAATTTCAACTCAGAAGTTTTTGGCAGTTTGATATCTTTCAAAAGATAATGACACAGCAACAAATTAGTATTGTTGAATGTTTTGTTCTATGTGTCCCATTACACTTTGTTTCTACCACTAGACTACCATTGTTTCATGTCTAATGCTGCATTCTTCCTCCAAAACTGTGAGCTCCTTCATCTTTGTATCTCTATTAGTTCAAGGCATAACACATGGTAGGCACAGAAGATACTGGTATTTGAAACTGATGTATAAACGGAGGGCAAGGTGCTTAAAGAGAAAGAATGTAATGTTATGGACAGAGTTAGGTGGAAAAGTGAGTATTTAGATTGCAAAATAGAAATCAAACAAATGACTAAGACCTTGGAGATCAGGTCCCTTTCTTCTGTGAACTCTTTTAGGCAATTTACCAAACACGTTATATAGAAATACTTTCTGTCCGCAACCTGGTTTCTGCTTCCCAACCAGAACTCCACATTCCTAGAAGCTCTGGTGGTCCCAGTGGCTATGCCAAGGAGGGAGCCTGAGCTTCATTAGTTTCAGGGCAAATCATCTCTGAGGGTACCCTGTAAATGTAGGTTGAATTGAACTGACTTGAACCAAAAGCTAACTTAATTTAAGGATATCTTTGATGGGATAGAGCAATTTACAAAAGCTCTTAAAATGCCTAGAAATCCCAGTTTATCTGGATGCAAAAGATGATGAGTCATGTAGGTTTGCTTATTTGTACTGATAGTTTTTTTTAAAACTTTTCTTTATAAGTTTAGTATTGTTTCTCAGTCCTCACTACTCAGTCACCTACTTAACTTAATCACTTACTGGAATCAATCAGTCTTGTCCCTTCTAATTTTTTACTTACCTTGTACTTTTCAAATAGGGATATGATCAATAAATTCTTGATGCTAATATTGATTCTCCTGTGATTAAAATAAAAATATTTATCTTTTTCCTACGATGCCTGCTCCAGAAGTCTGAATGCTATTCTCAGAAACTAGAGCCTAGAAATGTAGTGGCTTTATCAAGCTTACTTAGCTGGTTAGTGGCAAAACAGCAAGAATCTAGTTCTTCTGATTCCCAGTACAGTGAGCTTTTCTTTTTTTTTTTTTTTAAGATTTTATTTATTTATTTGACAGAGAGAGACACAGCGAGAGAGGGAACACAAGCAGGGGGAGTGGGAGAGGGAGAAGCAGGCTCCCCGCAGAGCAGGGAGCCCGATGCGGGACTCGATCCCAGGACTCTGGGATCATGACCTGAGCTGAAGGCAGTCGCTTAAACAACTGAGCCACCCAGGCGCCCCCAGTGAGCTTTTCATTATAAAACTATAATGACTAAACTATAAACACATTATTTCAGGTTTGTAGTAGAAGTTTCTCTTCTTAAACACTATTATTGGAGACTATCTTCTCACTTAAAAAAAAAAAATTTCTTTGTCAGAGAGAGAGGCAGGCAGAGGGAGAAGCGCAAGGAGCCCCATGTAGGACTCGACCCAGGACCCTGGGATCATGACCTGAGCCAAAGGCAGACGCTTAACCAACTGAGCCAACCAGGTGTTTCCATCTTTGCACTTTTAATTAAATTATTATTGTAATTTGCTTTGGTACTAATAGTCTTTATTGTGGAAATATCCTTTCCTCTATTTAGTCATTCACTATGTGTCCCTTTAATTTCTGGATACATGTATTTGTGGAAGATGAGTAAACCTCAAACTTATGGTAAACATACTAGTTAAGACCTCAGTCTCTAAATTAGACTGATCAAGTTCAGGTAACAGCTCTGCCACTTACTAGTTGTGTAACTGTCTTAGCTCAGACTGCTGTAACAGAAGACCACACACTGGGTGGCCTAAACAATAGACATTTATTTCTCACAGTTCTGGAGGCTGGGAAGTCCAAAATCAAGGTGCCAGCAGATTTGATTCCTGGAGAGAACTGTCTTCCTGGCTTGCAGATGGGTGCCATCTCATTAAGTCCTCACGTGACAGAGAGACAATAAGGATACTAATACTATCATCAGGGCCTCACCTTTATGATCTCATCTAAACCTAATTGTCTCCCAAAGGCCCCACCTCTAAATACCCCTGGGTATCAGAACTTCCACATATGAATTCCATTCAGTCTATACCAGTAAACTTGGTCAAACTACTTAATCACACTGAACCTCAATGTCTTCATTTGTAAAATAGGGATAATCGTAGTTCCTAAGCCATAGAGTTCTGGAGAGGTTTAAATGAACCTTAAGTGAAATTGGAATAGTGCCTAGTACATGGTTAAGAGCTCAATAACTCTTACATTTTACTTTTTTTTACTTTTAGCTTTTTTACATTTAACACTTAAAAGGAGTTTAGGTTCTACAATCTGGACTATAAAGAACTCTGTTTTTGGGGATAAGGAAAATAGTGCTACCTTGATACAAAGATGTACTCTGCCTCTTAATTCTAGTCCTTGACACTTGAATCCATCTGCACTTCACAGAGAATAATAATCAAGTATGTTGATTTACAGTGTGCCAGTTTATTTATGCCATTAGGCATTTGTTCTGCTCTGTATACCTCTAGGTCTGGAATCCCCAAACAGTTTAGGGAGTCCAGAATTCGCTTTCTGGTTTCAGGTAGTCTAGAATGGTCTTTGAGAGAACACAATGTATATCATGAAGAAACCTGAGAGCCAGAGCCTAGTATTCTTTTGTCTGAAGAGTCTCAGGACCAAAAAATGGCCCATTTTTAAGAAGATTCCCCAGAACAAAAAAAATCCAAATAATTGGTAAACACCCTGAGTCCGGTCAAGGTGATCCACCTGGGGAAGCCTGTCAGGATATGGCAACTAAGAGTTAACACCAAGTGATTATGTTATTTTGCTTAAACAAGAAAGTAAGAAAGAAAAATTTATGGAATATATAAATGGAAGTCAGAAAGGTCAAATTGGCAGAGTGTATGAGTTTCCTATTGCTGCCATAACAAATTACTATAAATAGTGGCTTAAAAC